CATTATAGTGAACTCTTTCCTACTGTGCTTTGATACCAGAGTTGATAATATCTTTATAGCAAATATTGCCTCCTTCCTCTCTACTCTCCCAAACCGGTAAGAGATATTTATACCTGAGTGTGTAATGTAACACTATTCACAGTAACCTGCACATGGAACCCACCTGCATCTTGCAGTGAATAAATGGGGAAAATTGTGATACATACTATAAGAGAGGATGAGACAATGTCTTTTGTGATAACATGGGTAGATCTGGGTGACACATTGAGTAAAATTAATCAGACATTGAAAGTCTAACTCTGCTCATCAGTTAGAGGAATTAGCTAGGGGTATATATTATTTAATCAGAACTTGGAAGAGGTTCTAAGCACGATGCTAAACTCAGAAATCATAGGTAAGCCTTGATATTTCAAATTTGAAGGTGTTTAGACATCTGATATGTTTTAAGAAGTAATCTTAAGGATGGGGTGATGGGAGGAACAGAAAGTTGATGAAAATCAATTTCTCACATGCAGACAAGTTTTGGAGCTGGGTAGTGAGCACATGAGAATTTAGAGAATTTAGCATATTGTTTTCTGTATTTTTGTATAGGCTTGCAATTCCCTATAGTAAATGCTTTGTTTTTAAATGTTAAAAAATAGAAGAGAAGAGAAGAAAACATGAGGACTTATAGATGAATGGACCTTCAGGAGACCAGTAAAACAAATGGGCCATTATTGGGAACATTAAAAGATGCTTTGATATCATCTTAGTAGAAATTTAAAAAAATGGAAATCATGATAATTGAGTTTCTAAAGACATTTTTATCTAATATAAACAACAAAAAAATGAAGGTTGAGAACTTCATATGTAGTCAAAATCCAAAGGTCATTGTATAATGCTTACAATCCTGTAGTCCTAAGTATTGTCTTTCTTACTAGTTTAAGCATAAACTCTCTTCTGACTTGGAGATATATGAAAATGAGCAAATATAGTGGTTAAAGTCAGTGGAAACTTTTTTTTTTAAGTATAGTTTATATTCAGTAAAATTCATTCACTTGGTGTACATTTCTGAGTTTTGAAAACATATACTCATAATGTCTCCATCACAGTGAAATATAGACCTGTAGCTCCAACCAAATTCCTCTGAGGCCCATTGCAGATTCTTCCTGGACACTTGCTTCCTCTTTTCCCAAACCATGGCCACCCCTGACCTGACATTTCCTTTTCGAGAAGCTGTTCACATAGATTCCTACAGTCTGGTAGTTATCCACATGTAACACTTGTGTGTCAAATACAAATAGTTGGTCTTAGATTTCTGTTCCAAGCATCATTGGTCCATGAATAGTTCTGGATTCAGAAATATAAAAGCAGCTCAAGCCGGGTGGTGGTGGCGCACGCCTTTAATCCCAGCATTCGGGAGGCAGAGCCAGGCGGATCTCTGTGAGTTCGAGGCCAGACTAGGCTACCAAGTGAGTTCCAGGAAAGGCACAAA